CTCCTGAACAACTTTGTTCAAGACAGTAACTTTCTATCTGGTCAAGAACGTGAGATATTTTATATGCGAGAATTTCACATGTATACTAGCATCATGAAGTAAGAAAATTCTGAACTACTGTCCACCAGCCAAAAGACCTTGACCTCCTGAACAACTTTCTATCTGATCAGGATCTCGAGATATAGCATATGCGAGAAGTGTACATGTATACTAACGCCACGTGGTGAGAAAATTATTAACTACTGTTTACCAGCCAAAAAGTCTTGATCCCCTAAACAACTTTGCCGAAGACAGCAACTTTCTAGCTGATCAAGATCTCGAGCTATTGAATATGGGAGAAAGGCACGTATATACTAGCACTGCATAGTGAGAAAATTCTAAACTGTTGTCACCCAACAAAAAGATCTTGACTTCCTGAAAAACTTTGCCGAATACATTTACTTTCTATCTGGTCAGGATCTAGAGATATTTTATATGCAAGAGTTTCACATCTATAGTAGCGCCACAAAGTGAGAAAACTCTGAATTACTGTCCACCTGCGAAAAAGCCTTGACATCCTGAACAACTATGCCGAAGACAGTACCTTTCTATCTGGTTGGGAACACGAGATATTGTATATGAGAATTTCACGTGTATACTAGCGTCGCGTAGTGAGTAAATTCTGAACTATTGAGCAGCAAGCAATAGGCTTTGATCTCCTGAAAAACTTTGTGAAAGACAGTAACTTTTTATCTGGTCAGGATCTCGAGATATATCACATGGGAGAATTTCACATGTATACTAGCGCTACGTAGTGAGAAAATTCTGAACTACTGTCCGCCAGCGACAAGGCTATGATCTCCTGAACAACTTTGTCAGAGACAGTAACTTTCTATTTTGTCAGAATCTTGATATATTCCATGTTGTAATCAATTAAGTCAAATCCCACGTAGTATGGTCACAGTTTTCGCGGTTTCCATTTACATTTTCCCTATTACCGCATTTTTTAGGTGTTTACTGTAATCAAAGTTTAGCTTGTTTAGATCAAAACAAGTTTTTTGAGGAATACTCGTTGGTTTCAGATCGATTGGTAACTCAGCAACAAAATGGCAATGGAAAACTCAAGTGTGTTGTACAAAGTACAACAGCGCGAGTAACGGAGGGTTAAAGACCATTTGGTACATTTTTTTTACGGATCTTCAAAATTTTTGTTCGGTTGCCATCCCCCCCCCCCCCTGAAACGTGACGTAATTAGTGAACGGACCATCATGGGATTCAGTTTTTGTATGTTGTTGTGGCACATGATATGTTTGATTTCTTTCAGGTCAAAGTTAATCCAAAACCCCTTAACGCCGGATTTTGTAACAAAGGCACAAAAACACTTAAATATACCTAGTCATTTCCCGATCTTGTGAGACTGAGTCGAACGATGTATGTTACTCGTCCTCGAATCGAAAGTCGGTTTTCCAAGCGGTTTATGAAAAATAATTTGCAAGATAGGTAAAAAAAAAATATGACTCCGGATAATCGAGCCATTTTCTCCGGATAATCGAGCCCCGGATAATCGAGCCTCCGGTTAATCGAGCCTCCGGATAATCGAGTCCGGTCTGTACACGACAGAGGAAATGATAATCTTGAGCTTTCTCAGGAAATATGCTCGAATGAACAAGAGCACAAAACAGTACAACGTGAATTACACAATGTAAGCAGTAATATCGACAGTGAGTTTTCACAAGTGCCAATGTGCAAACGTAAACAATGGCTTCTTCTTCAATATAATCATCGTACTTGAGCGAGTTTTCATTCTCAAGAATTACACGGAAGAAGTAATTGTGTACGTTTGCACGTTGACTCACGTCTATATACTTATTGAACTGAGAATTTCTGGAAAAAATGTTTACTAATGTAGTTTATTTTATTTCAGATCTGTATTGTTTCCAAATACCACTTGGGATTGAACTCAGGCCCTTCGGAGTGAGAGACAGTTACCATTACACCACCAGTGTCGCTAAGAATTTAGTTGATTTTGATCAGAAAAAGCATGCTGCATTCTTTTTTGTTACAATGTGTCGATTCAGATATTGTTTCTTGAATTGGAAATTAGATCTCACTACTTCATGAAAAGCTCATCGGATTTTATTCGTAATGATGACAATTTGGATTAGAGTTACATTACATTTCAATAATGTGTAAGTTTATGACATGGTCATGATTTGCATCAAATAAGTTTTTTCACATTATATGGCTTACAGTTTGATATTATTGTATTGAAGTTCACAAACATTAATATATTATAAAAATGCACTACCACATATGATTATCTTCCCATATGGCATCTAATAAATATCTCTTGAGGTGATTTTGTTCTTATATCATATAACATTGTCTGAATGATGTCACATATCGTTACAATACGGAATGCTATCATTTAATGATTCTTAATTGTTTGATGAATTTGATCTTTTATTGTCCAACATTAGTAGAACATTTTGTATTAATGTTAATTAAACCTTGTTGGCAACGTTATAGTTTGGAATGTAACACAAATCGTTTTTTACTATGCGGGTTGCGCTTCCTGCTGTTCGAAATCCGAAATGTTTCAAAACAAACTAGCTGAGTAACTGTACCCAATCCATCGGGAGAAAACCGCCTGGAAGAACACAGGATCCCGCAGCGCAACTAAACATCGAAAGATAAACAAACTTTGACGTTTAAGTTTTTGAAGGCAACTTAGCCTCCATAAATGCTGCCATAAATCTGAACGGGTAAGGATCAAGCAAAATGGCTTTAGATAAATACAATTCAGCCTGCAAGTTTTCTTCATTACAGCCATTTTAAACCCTTGTTAATTTGTTGAGGATTTCTTGAAAGCAAAACAACTTTTTCACAAATGACCCATGAAACCCATGAAAATCAACTTTTATGCCACCGCCATGTTACAATTAGTTTGCTTGTTTTTTACAATTTTCGATTTTCAATCTTTATTTCCTTGAATTTAACTATATTTTGGTAAATTTAGCAATAAGCAAACATTTGAATGCGAAAATCATTAAAAAAAATCAATCTCGGCCTAGCTCGATCTGAAGAATAATTTTTCTCTTCAATGTAAAATAATTAGTCAAATCGACGTTTTACGAGGGCGGACTCATTTTTTTTTTTCAATGATTTCACGTAGATTTCACTTAACATTTAATAAGGCACTTAAAAATAGCCACCTAATGAGAACTATTTTAATAAAGTTGGATATTTAACAAGATTTTTAAACCATCAGTTTCTATTTTAATTATTTTGATAAGATCGGATTCATAAATCCTTTTCTGTCTTGATTGATGCTTTACTAGTGGATTTAGCAAGCAGCTAGGGGAAATGGCTCGCAAAGGGTTTTTATTGTTGCTAAATAGCTTTTGTTGTAGCTTTCAAATGGTTCTCAACAACTTTTTGCAGTAAATCAATCGTGAAGAGCTTCGAGAATACACCTATCAGAAGCTTCTCCAGGGTGGGCCAACTAGACATATTCTAGTCTTAATGAAGTTTTGGTGGATGCATTAATGACAAAATAGCCTTGACCAGAGTTTTATGAATGTTGTTTTATAGTTGCTTTGTAGTATTTCATAAAACTTAAAATGTTACTTGGGACATTAGAGTAATTTCCCCTATCTAGTTATTGTGTGGTTGGAAACGCTGGAGAAGCAATTGTTTATAATGACTAGAGGAAAATCGTAGAAGCATCGAAAATGCGCTCCCGGATATATTGATTTGGTGAGTAGTTCCAGTTGAAGATTGTTCTTACACATTTCTCGATTGAATTTTCGAGGGGACGGGTCTGCTTTTGTGGACAGTGCGTTTGATGGGTGGTTTGGCGTGACTGGTTTGTCACCTGCACGTGATTGCACCGCTATCAGGTAGGGGAAAAATTCCCGTGGTGAAGTGGTAAGCGTGACTGCTTTCTCACCCCAATGGGTCTGGATTCAATCCCAGCCGAGGTCGGTGAGATTTTTCTGAAGCATGTAAAATCTCTGGTCACGTCTTCCTTCGGAAGGAAAGTAAAGCCGTCGGTCCTCCATGCATATTCGGTTGCCGTCAATGGTTGGCAATCGATGACCGTCGGTTATTGGCACTAGATTGCGGAACAGAGACCGTATATACCGTGTATACCTCACTCAAGCAAAAAAAAAACGCCACTCATATATAGTACTCGAAAATTGAACAAAAAAAAAAAAAAATTTAGAAGGCATCAAAATGCTACACTCAATAGTTTCGTCGCAAATGGCCATGTCCCACTTTTTTTTAATTTCGTCCCACTGTGCGACTGTTACCGGAAGGATAGTTCTGTTAGTAAGGTGGGTTATTTTTAGATCAGATCTCAGTGATCGGGGTAAAGCAGAATTTCATATTAATTCCTTTATTTAACGTTGGTCTCTGTTCTGCAGTCTAGTATCAATCACTGTATAGCCGTTGCTTTTCCCCAAGCGTTGACAGACGAGTAGTCCAGACACAGAACTCGTAATCTCAACGTCCATGGTTTGATCCAAGTCCGCTTCATTTTTTTGTCGAATTATTTTACATAAGGTAAATTTATTTTCATGTCAAAACGGTAGCGAGAAAAATACGAACGAGTATTTGAAATTCAAACATCGAAAGCAGATAATATCGATCTCGTCAAGCTGAGTCGATTGGTATATGACACTCGGCATCGTTTCGAAAGTTGTTTTTTTCAAGCGGTATTCATACCCTTCTTTGAAAGAATATTAATAAGAAGGGTAAAACAACGACAAACTGCCCTGAACGATCATCAAAAATAAATTCCAAGTTAATCAGCACAAATACGTTCACAATTCAAACAATGCCAAAAATTATTGTTGCAAAAGCAATTTTATCATCAACTGTAACCAATCAAACAACCTTGATGTCAAGAATCCATCATTCCTAAGCACAACTCCTTACCCGGACATGATAAGAATGGGTAATTTATTTCGCACTTTCTCCTTGAATCGGGTCAGTTTATTTTTAATTGATTTCATTTGGCATTCTTCATCATGAACTGCAATACTGTGTTCTCTGTTCTGGTGCTGGTTGGAACAGTGATCACAATCTCAGCCAGTCAACAGTTTAGTTTACTGGCATGCATGGATCTTACAGATGGAATAATGATCTCTAGTCCTTATCAGTGCGATAAGTTTTTCATCTGCGGTGATGGTTCACTTAGCGAGGAGGCCACCTGTCCGCCGGGTATGCTATTCAATCCAGATAACCAGATTTGCGATTTTCCGGAAAACGTTGACTGTCGTGATGTGCCTCTTCCACCATGGGCGGAAAGTCCAACTGATCCAGAAGAACCAACAGTGGAGCCTACAAGCCCAAATAATCCCAACCAGTGTCCATCGGATGATCCGGAGTATCCTGTTTTCTTACCCGTGCTAAACGAATGTGGTTCATATATTTTGTGCTTCCATGGAAAGGAAATCCTGATGTCATGCCCAGACGATCTCCACTGGAATACTGAAACGATGGTTTGTGATGATCCAGCCACTGCCAACTGCGAGGTAAGCAATCATTGAATCATGATATTCCATCATAATGGATGAATAACTGAATTGCAGAGTATTGATGAAACGTTGGGATGTCCTTCGGAAGGTTTCGACTTTCTTCCACACCCGGACGACTGCAGAAGATTCATTTACTGTCGGGATGGATTTGCACGGTTACAGAGGTGTTTTTTTCTCAAGGTTTTTGACAACAAGCTGAAGACTTGTGTTTTTGGAACGACGTGTTAGGAGAAGACTATGGCACAACACAAAACGTACTCCTTCGGTGTATTAAAAAATCAAGTATTGACGTAAGATTCATAGTAGGGGTATTCACGTAGCGCATCGTAAATTTTTACACTATCGTAAAAATGCCAGGCCCCATTGAAGTGTAATGGAATTCACGCATTTACGAGGGTTTACACACTTATGATGCGCTACGTTAATATCCCTAATGATTTAACCATTACGGGATGTAAACCTATCTTAGTCCCTCAATTCGACCTATCAAGCAAATAAATCCTTTTTGAGCAATAAATCCCAACTCAAATGACACAAACACTTCACTACTCATTGTGAGTCAGAAACGAATCACTTATAGCAAATTCGTTTATTATTCAGTTCCAACCTGGATCGGGTATCAAGATAGGGCCTGCTTGTTTTCTGACAAACGTCAGTTCGATCGTTTGTTTTTAAAACCCAGCTCAGGTTGAGGTTCGCACTGACAAAAAGTTCGGTTTCGCACTGGGTTGGAACTGCTTCCAACCCCGATAATAAACGAATTCGCTATTAGTAAGGAAAGATGCGTATATAACATAGAATTTTAGGGTGACCAGCCACGTATAAAAATACGCTACAATGGAGAGGGGGATGAAATTGGTGCTTCATGAAATGTAAACAAACGCCAAACGATTATTTACGTTTGATGAAGCTCCAACTTTGGATCCCTCCCTCCCCCCCACTTGTAGTTTATTTTTCTACATGGCTAAAATGCTACGTCATTTATGCATCTTCCCTAATGAGACGCATTGAATACATTTCCTGCTATATTTTATTTAAAAACTGATGCGCAATTTGTGTTTCGTTCAGTTTTGTCTGCGCTTTGCGCCACCATCTTCTTTCGCTGTTCTGCGCTCACTGGTTTTTCGGGTTTTAGAACGCTTTTTGTGCAAATTAAGTGCTAAGTGAAATTACTACTATACATGAAGAGAATTATGTTGCGTACAGTAGTGAGCACAATTTCGCTAATTCGCCAATTGCTTATTAGCGAAGCTTAATCTTTGTTAGTGGTTTAGCGAAAACGCTAAATTTTAAAATATTTAACGATACAGTTAGCTTTGCTAAATGTTACTGATACTGACGCCAGGAAGGCAGCTCCCACACTTGGATCCTACCTATCGACCCATCAACTGATGTGGGGATCAACGGCCTTACTTTCCCGAAGGAAGGCGTGATCAGAGGTGTTATGCCTCAGAACATTCCGGCGGCGCCTACTGGGATTGAACCCAGGCCTGCTGGGATGAGAGGCAATCACGTTTACTACTACACCACCCGCGCTGCTAGACTTAATTGTAAAAATTATGATGTAACATGATATCCACATTCATGGAATCGGTTTTTCCTGGCAGCAACGAACTACCTTCTTCTCCAGTTTTCCATGTTTGCATAGATATCTCTGGTTTTCGATGATTGTTGTACTTTTCCTATGCTTTTTCATATAATGATGAGCTCTGTTAATTCGGTCACCTAGCCATAAATTTTTAAGATTTTCGAAAAATAGCGTTTGATCATTTCTTCTTTTTTTCTTACACACCTGACAGCAACATTCGAAAGTCTATAAATTTGAAATACAAATTTGTAATTGAATCTTTGAGTTGGGTGTTCGTATATTCATTGATTAAAAGATGTACAGAAGATGTAAGAAACACTCATATTGTAAGTTCGTGTCATTCGTTTTGCGTGTGGGGTTAACAATAACTTTCTACGCTCGTTTTCTGCAGCATTATACCACACATCTAAAAGACGATCGAACAGCTAAACGGTGAGTGCACGTGGGTGGTGGCGATATCCACTGATCTCAAAAGGCGTGTGGGTGGAAACTCTCCCTGGAGAGAGTGACTGAGCCCACGATTGAGGAGAGTGAGCAGAAACCGGAGGCTGGGGAAGTCAGTAGCGACCATCGGACAGTTACCCACACACCATCCAGCCATCACCTGGTCGCCTACCGGACGCCATCCTACTGCCACCCGACCTTCACCCGACCTTCACTCGACCTCCACCCGTCACCAGCAAAGCCCAGCCAGGTTTGTTTACCATCAATCAATAAATCGTTTAACCGTTGACCATAGCGTTTGATAGGATCCTTTGTCCGAAAACTCTACCACGCCCGTACGCCTTGAGACCCGGAACTATTAGAGGCAGTGAGTGCCCACCCCGGGAGCTGTCGTAGGTTAGACCGGCAGCTTGGCGCTTTGGTAGGTCCTCCTCCAGGTCCTAGCGGTTCCGGGGCCTAAAAGTGTCTTTCGAGCATTTTGGCTTCCTAAAGTAATTGTTCATCTGTATTTAATTTTTGAATGTGTTGATGTCTTCAGCATTTTTTATTTCTAGAAAAAGTTTCATATCGTCAGCGTAAATTAAAACTTATTTTTTTTATGTAGGACTACGTCTTTAATTTCTATACTGGGGGTCACATTAAAAATTCAGACATGTAACGATAAATCCCAAACACGGACGCAACGATAGAGCGCAAATCTAACAAACGGCACATAGCGCATGCTCACATGAGCGAGCTCAATGCTTGGTTTATCGCTCGCTTACCAATTCACCCATGAAAGAAAGGGATGAGAAAAGCAGCGATAATAAAAACGCTTGCCAAATCGTTTTCTTCGTCATTTGCATTCGAGCAACGGACGGATAAGCTTCGGAACCGAGATATGAGTGGAATAGCACGCATTGCACCAATACGAAGAAGACGCAGTGTTGCCACATTATTTCCATCTGTATTTTCGCCTTAAAAAATCTTTTTTATCTGTTTCTGGCTGACACAAATCTGTAAAATAATGTGCATAAATTCTAAAGTATAATCTTATTGCGGATCGTCGTAAATATACTTTGAGTTAATTTGAAGTTCAGAAATAGTTTGTTCATAGTTTAGAATCTTGAAGATTGACAAAATCCTGAAACTTGATTTTTGTTTTGAGTGATGTGTATCTTTCTAAAAGTATAAAAACACAAAAAATCAAGTCCCAGTAATGAGAGACAAACATGAAAAAAATTAATGAAGGAACAATAACATTTTCGTAAAACTTTAATTTATTATATCCGAGATTACGAAAATCTTTTTCAAGTCATTTTTTTTACTCAACAATTTTAGAAAATGAAACATAAGCATTAAAATTTTATAAAGTAAGTTGTAAAATGTTATGCTCGATGTTACATTTTCTCAAATTCTTCTAAAATCAAAACAAATTTCAACTTGATTTATTCATTTGGCAGATTAAAAGGATATTGAATTGACAACCTGTTACTCGAACCTATATACCTACACGGCGAATGAGAACGACCCAAATTTGAGTTTAGTTCACTCATAATCGCCAAAAGTGCAGGAACTCAGCGATGAGTAAATTTGCCTCATGTTTGCCCAAGTTTTTCCAGGATATTCCAGGGAAAAAAAAATCCGAATTTGAGAAAAGTAAAGATTGGATTCACTCAGTCTATTGGTACTACTCCGAGACTGAATAAAATTATCGTCAATTTCCTCATTTTCCGGCAGATTTTTTAGGTTTTCCATAGGAAACCTGAGACAAATTTTACTAATCGCTGAGTTCCTGCACTTTTGGAGATTATGAGTGAACTAAACTAAAATTTGGGTCGTTCTCATTCGCCGTGTAAGTGTACTCAGTATTTTTTGGGAAAAACTTTAGGATGGTTTCATCTGTATTTCTCTATTTGCAATCGTGCTCATATGTGTTATCAATTTAATTGTATTTTGTCACAAAACATAACTTTTAGTTGAATATTTAGTAGAATTGAATATTCTTTATTTCTGATATAACGCTAGTCACATGTCAAAATAACCACTTGACTGTTCGACTCACAAACTGTAATTGGTTGTTAAAAGGGCTTATTTACCGATTCGACAAATAAAAAAAAAATAATCATGGTACCTGTCACCATGTGATATGGTTGATTAAACAATAAGAATGAAAATCTTACATCCCTTTTAACGAACAATCAGAAATCAGAACATCTGAGCATCGGAAGTCCGTTCAAAATTAACGAAAATAATAAAATAAAAAGTACAAAATTGGTTAGGTGCTCGTGCCTGCTCAAAAGGAAGAAACGATTATTTATGGATATTAATAAATTTAATCCAGAGTTAAACATAATGATCTGAAAAATCTGTATATTTAATTAAAAAACTGTAATCTGTATGTACAGATATCTGTATCAAAATGTTGAGAAAAATATGTATCATTACAGATAAATCTGTATATGTAGCATCACTGAGACGACGACGAAAGCACCACTCGACCGGAGGAAAGGCTACATTTGAAAAACAACCGGCACTTTTCAGGGCCACCAATTCAAAAACGGAAAGAGTTAAGAACTAAATGATCAACATATTTGTTCCATCCACTAGCGGTCCTACGTCAAGCTTCCGTTCATGCCCCTAGGCAAAATGAAGCATATGTCGTGTACAAATAGAATGAATAGAAGGGGCCCTAAATGAATACCTTGTGGGACTCCTGATGTGGCATGAATAGTGGTTGATTTTTTTTCCTTTGAATCTTACTATTTTATAGCGGTTGGTTAGATATGATTCAAGCCATTTGAGGAGTTTAGGATGCATTCCCATCTTTTGAAGTTTAAAAAGAAGCATGGGTATGTCAACGCGGTCAAATGCTTTGCTGAAATCTGTGTACAAAATTTTAACATGATGTCCGTTATCGATTGCTTTCATTATCCATGTCTGAAATGAATGGTTAAAGTCACCATATATGTGTACTTTTACTTCAGGGGGTAAGCCAGAGAATTTCCTCAGCTATGCTAAATAACTTATCATATATATCTTTACGGGCATTGTTTGGAGGGAAATACACCGAAGCAAAGATAGATATGTTTTTCTCGAAACCTCAGTTTTATTTTACCTTGCGAGATAGGGATCTCGGAAACTATTCGATCAATTTTGCTGATTCTTCTATCCGTGATGTAAAAATGAACTATCTAAAATCCAACATAGGATTTTTTGGATATTCCAACTTTTCGATTTTTTACGCATATTTGAGCAGCGGTTTTTTCAACGAAAAATCAAAACTTTTTTTTTTGAATGCCGCCATTTAAAAAAAAAATAATATGTTGGAATGAAAATTTTCGAAAATAAAGGTAAAATTTTGCTTAATAACGTACTGTAAACCGGAAGTGATACCATTTATTCTAATGTTCTAAAAAATACATTTTTTTTTAGAGATCTCAACCTTAAGCCCTACCCAGACAACCAGAAGTCGTATAACAATGTACTCAAAGTATCGTAAATTGCTACAGTTTAAGTCAAAATCGCATAAAAGAATGGCATACATCTCATTTATGTTTAAGTTAAATCGTATAGAATGCAAATTTCCGACATATATGCGATGAATCAATTTTCCGTCGTACTGTATCACAAATTAAATCGGATTACATCGTTAAACTTTTCAAAATGAATTTGTTATTACAGATTAAATCGTATATGATGTTCAATCAACTCGTTTAAAATTAAATTAAAATATGCACGTAATTGGCCTCCACTTTTGTACGTATAAACCATTTATTTGCATTCTATACGAATTGTTTGTTTGTATATATGTTTGTAAATCACGAAAACAACTTTGAATATACTCCCCGGCCGGCGCCGGTGGTGTAGTGGTAGCGTGACTGCTTTCTAACACCCCAATGGGTCTGTGTTCAATCCCAGCCGAGGTCGGTGGGATTTTTCTGAGCCATAAAAATCTCTGGTCACGTCTTCCTTCGGAAGGGGGGAAGTAAAGCCGTTGGTCCCGGCGCATGTGTGTTTGAATGGGTGCGATATCCTAAGCAGGTGTGGAAGCTGCTTTCCTGCACATTCGGTTGCCGTCAATGGATGGCAATCGATGTCCGTCGGTGATTGGCACTAGATTGCGGAACAGAGACCGACGTAAATAAAGGAAAAAGAAAAACTTTGAATGCATTTGCGTGCATTCTGGTTGTCTGGGTACATTTCAGAAAAAGAGAGACAGAAAGCATTCTTCCGAAACAGAATTGCGAATGTCAAGAAACAAGACAAACAATCAGGCATAACATTTGATAACGGCACAAAAGCATTTGTAAATAAACTTTCTAAGGCCTTTACACGCGAACCAAAGTACGCCCACGCAAACCAACAACCAGCCGGATAGGAGCAACTATCACCTTTCCGAAAGTGGTATTGGTTTGCGTAGGCGTACTTTGGTTCGCGTGTTAAGGACCTTAGAAAGTTTGTTTACAAATGCTTTTGTGCCGTTATCAAATTTTATGCCTGCAATGTCTGTAAGAAACTTGCGGTTCACCTTGAAGACGTCATGAATGATTGTAGAATTGAGACACATTAGGAAAGGTCATTGATGTGTCCGATAACTACTTTTTCTGTACAATTTAAACGGCTACTTCGTTGTAGATCTAGTCAGTCGCTATCACGCGTTTTGCTAGTTAACCAACGTTGATAAGAAAAAGTCATGCGTAGCATTTTAGTACGTGGTTTCGTCACAGCAGCAGTTATTGCCTTTTGTTCCAGTCAAGAATTCGATCCGACTATCTGCATGGAACTGCAGGACGGCAGTAAAATTCCAAGCCCATTTTTGTGCAATCAATTCTATGTGTGTGAAAGTGGCATGCTTAGCGAAGAAGGCACATGCCCTCAAAATATGCTCTTCAATCCCGATAGCAAGGATTGTGATTTTGCTGAAACTGTTGACTGTCGAGGCGTGTCTTTACCTCCAGGATTTGGAACAGAAGAATTAACGACGCAAGATACTGAAACCGAGGAGCCAACTATTCCTTCCAGTCGATGTCCACCCGAGGATCCGGAAGATCCAGTTTTCCTGCCAGTAGAAAACGACTGTAGTTCCTACATATTATGCTTCCATGGCAAGGAGATTTTAAGGACATGCCCTGCAGATCTTTATTGGAATATTAATACTTTTGAGTGTGACAGTTCTTCAAAAGCACAGTGTCAGGTATGTATGTTCGAAACTATGACATATTTTTTTTTTATTAATTATTTTGAACTTATTTTTAGAAAAACGATGAATTTGAATGTCCACGTGATGGTTTCGATTTTCTACCTCATCCAGATACATGTAAAAAGTTTATATATTGTAGAGATGGATACGCTAGAGTGCAAAGCTGCGCTATCTTGAAAGTGTTTGATACAAAACAAAAAACCTGTGTTTTTGGAAGATTTTGCGAATAGTGTAAATATTGGTAATTTTTTATGAATGTAAGTAGCTACTTTATCTTAAGAAAATCAACAGAATTATGTAAAAATATAATGAACGTATTTATAAGATATGAACCTGAATTTATAGATTTTCATGTTACTTCTTCTTCAACATCATCATCATCTTCTTCTTCTTCTTCTTCTTCTTGGTTTTACATCTCAAAATGAATTTTATATGTGTGTATTTAGATTGGCTCACTGTTATATGGAAAACCTAAGAGAAGAATATCAATTGCTACACACTTAAACAGAGACCCTGAGTTCGGTAAAAAAAAACAATTACCGTCTTAGATCGGTAATCCTAAAAATTACAAATGTTTCGGTATTTTCTCGCTATATTGCTGAAAACTGTAAATGAAATGACCGAAATTCGGTAATTTCTTTTTAATTTAACGAAAACAGTTAACATTTTTACCGGCAGGTCCAGGCATGGAAAATCATTTGCATTCATTTCGTGCATTCATTTACATTCATTTGCCTCTAACTTTTTTTTCAACAGCATTCCGCAAAATGATATATAGAGCTTTTGTAGGTTTTGTTATTAGCTACAACTTTTGTTAGAAAATCAAATCCGCATCTCTTATGCATGACGAAACAGAGCGAACAGAAGCCACTACTGTTTTTCAGTAAATGTATTTTACATTCACTGAAAAACAGTAACAAGTTTTGCCCGCTCTAGTTCATGATGCATAAGAGATATAAATTTGAGTTATGACCAAAATTTGTAGTTAATAACAAACCCTACAAAAGCTCTATACATCATTTTGCGGAATGCTGTTGAAGAAAAAAGTTAGAGGCAAATGAATGTAAATGAATGTATAAAATGAATGCAAATGATTTTCCATGCCTGGGCAGGTCTGTAAATCAGCTTTATCACTGACTTCGGTGAAATATTTTACTGAAGTTTCGGTAAACAAAGCGTTCCATTACTGAGATCGGTAACGGTCTCGGTAAACGTCAAATCCACCTTATTGTGATTTTCGATCGTCTTGAAAACGTTCGTGTATGAGAAAAACAAAAAGGTGAAATTATGGAGGCTGTTATGCAACACGAAGGTGAGCAAATCGTAGATATTTTCCGTAAGTAATTAATTTTCGTTATCTAAATAAATACCGATTGCAGATGGCCGATGTTGTTGCTTGTTTTTTTTTTCTTTCGGTCCAAGTTCCATCCCCGTTGGCAACGATCTGAAAATAGCATTTGGAATCTTCTTCCCTGTTTTCAGTGTAGCGCCGAATCTTTCCGACAAAAAAATGTTGTTGTTCATTGGTGGAGTAATTTGCAACACTTACACATTGATCACGACTGCAGCCAATTTTTTACATGGTTTACAGGGATCGCTACCTTGAAACAATATTAAAACAAATTACAGTTGAGTGGGTTCCTTTTTAAAAAATACAGATCTCTCGGTAATTCTCAATTTGCATGTCGTCCTCAAAATTACAGTTCTCCGGTAAAGTCGACTACAAATCAAGCAATGCACATCAGTAAACGCTACCGATCGTTCGACAAATTTGACAGCTAATTTTGCTGATCCAGTTTACAGATTTTTCGGTAATGCTCTCGATTACCGAAAACATTACCGACCGTTCAGCTGTTGAGAATTCGGTAAATCAATTACCGAAGTCGGTGATTTTTTCTAAGTGTGTACACCTCCCTAGAATGGTTGTTTGAAGCCATTCGATCTTATAAGGTTTAAAAATGTTAGATGCATCTAAAGTTCCTAGACCTAACGGAGTTCCTCCTGTTTTTATGAAAACTTTAGCAACTGAACTTACTGCTCCATTATTTTGGATTTTAAATGTGTCACTGGTATCAGGAAACATCCCCTAAATATGGAAAAACTCCATTTAATACCACTACCTTATTTGCTTATCCTTGGCAGATACACGTAATTTACTACTATGTAGTACAGTAATGCTATGTTTCAAATAACAGACCACTTTATCATTTTATACGATAGATGAGGAGATGAAAGTATAGAGTTGATAGTTCCGTAAGAGTACGACAGTGTGAAAATTATATCTAGAGAGTATAAAGGGGGTTGATCATCTCTCTTTACCAAACTCCCCAGTTAGAAAGGGATGGTGAGGAGTACCCCCCCTGCTTCCACTTTTCACACTGCCGTAGTCTAACGGAACTATCAACTCTATACCTTCATCTCCTCATCTATCGTATGAAATGACCACTCTAAGAGCCTGTTATTTGAAAAATAGCATCTTGAACTATGTAAAATCGTTAACTTCGCGCAGAAGTAATACACACATAAATAGTTAAAGTATTTTTTCTAATTGATAATAGAATAACTACTATGCAACACTGCTTTTTTAAAGGCCGTTCAACATACGCTCGAATTCATTGATTATTCTCTGAAAGCAATGTATAATGGAAATCATGTTGAATTTTTGTACACAGACTTCAGCAAAGCATTTGACCGCGTTGGAATTACAAGTAAATTACATGGCACAAACCATTTCAAGTTTATATGGAAATTATGGAAATTACTATTGAAAAACAATTTTTTGTTCGTATCCATCTAACAATTCATCATATCACTTTGCTTTAAATATTGATAAATTTGCTGGTAGGGAATTTTCTCAGCTACAATTTTGTTAAAGATCACTTTTCGGTAGAATGTAAGCATCAAAAATTATTAATGATCCAAACCACTGATACCTTAGGATTATGCTCAATCAACTTTTCAGCAGGCAAAATTGGTGTTTCTGGCGCGAAGAATAGAGCTAAAGAATCAATTATCGAATAAACATCCACCCGGTTGTCGCAGTGCAACCAAAATGTTTATCGTTTCAATAATAAACACCGTAGCCGTGCACTTTGCGCGCGCTACATAAATTCTGCATACGCAGCATAAGTAACAACGAATTAACTCCCTTGCAGAGTTGCGACCTATCACAATCACCATCATCAAACACAGCTGATGGTAGTAACGCTTTGTACATTCCTATCAATGTGCTCGTCGAAGCTCTCTCCATGACCATCCATCAAGTTGACGAAAGAAGTAAAAAGCAACTGGTGAATCTCGTCTTTTGTTGTGATCCATCACCGATCTGGTCATTCCTGACAATCACGACACTCATCTGTGCTCGTTTTGATGCAGTTGCTGCTTTGCTTGCTTATGTGAGTGTGTTGGTGAGTGAGCCCAACAGCTTCCGTTTAATGTTGCCTGTTGCCTGCTTTGTTTGTAACTCACACACTCGCGCCTGCCGAGACGAACTTGGAATGCGAAGGCATTGTTTTCATTTTCTTCTGTCGTTTCGCTTTTTCTCATGATCGTACTGCAGAAGTCTTCACTGTTTTCGTTGTACTTTTCATTATCAGTAGCGAGTGTAACGATTTGCTTGTGAGCAGCGACCATTACTGGTGATTGTTGTTTGCCATGGCTCTAACTCTCACTGCGTGACAAAACGATCTGTAAGCGATAGTCGGTTAATGCGAAGACGAGTGTCACGTGAGTGTCATGATATTTTGCATCACTGCTCCCTTGAGCGTTGGTCTGAAGCACACAATAAAGTCATTCAGATTATTCTTGACCGAACCTTAAACGAAGTAGTACACTGCTCACCGCAGTAAATATTACCTCACTTGAATCATAAAGAAATGCCTAATTAGAGTTTCGATAGAACTATTGTCATCCTTAAATCTATATACACCCTCTAGGTATCTACGAAATAGAAATATATTTACTACAAACCAACATCGTACGAATTTTGCCAAATTTGGGCCCTTTGAACCAAATAATGGACACATACAATAAGCATTGCGATAACATTGTCTTTAAACGTGTAACGTCCGCTAGTAGATTTTTTTTTTAAATTTCTTTTCAAGACATAGGGGAAATGGATGTAATGTCGGCCTAAATGCCCCTAATTTGGGCCCATACATAAATTCAGCAATCGACTAAATTTTCAAGAGCGACCAAAAATATCCATTAGTACCGTCCCGATGACGCATTCATCTAGATAAAAATGATAAATAGCAGATTTTTAGCGATGGGCCCAATCTTAGATCCATAGGCCAACATTAGAGCCATTTCCCCTATTATAATTTATATAACAAAGACAACACTTAAAAAAATAGCACTTAAGGAAACTATTGAAAAACGGTCTACAAGGATTGATGACAAATAAAATAAAATAAAATAAATAAATAGATCCACCGGAAGAGAGCTTGACGTTTAGATGAGAAAAATCGCAAAAATGTATGGTGGAATGAGGTACTTTATATGTTTGCCTCTAGGTGGCGCTGTAGGTATTCGATTTTCTTTGAGTGAAAAATGAAGAAACATTGGGGTATGGGAAACATCTTTGTTGAAGACTGAAAGCAAATCTGCGTATGGGGTGTTTACATTTGTGCGGATTTGCTAGCGCTAGTGTACTCGCCAACTTGCACGAATTTCAGTTACTTTTTTGTTTATGAATTGCCCAGCAACTACACGTTGTCAGTGAGTAGTACGTTATTTAAATTACAGTATAAATATTTAAAAAAAATAAAAAAAATGCAATTTGATTAATTTTAATTTTTTTTTTATAATTTTGATTTTTTTTTGTGAATAATAAAATAGTTTTTGTATATTTTATTTTGTACATACCTAGAATATATTTTTTCTTGTAAGGCACAATACTTGTCCGCAACTTCGCCGAAGACACCATCTCGATCAAACAAATCGTTCATGAGATCAGGGTTACTTCCATTCATTTTGGCTAAAAAAATGTTTTATTAAATTATGGAATAGTAAGACATTATGATAATAATTGGTTTGCGTAAGCAACAAGACAAGATTGTAAAGTTTGTGTTTGACACATAAAACTTGCAAATTTAGCTTTGACAGAGTCACAATGAGTGGTTTTCTGATCGCCTTTTCGCGAAGAGTGAAGAGCGAAGAGTGGGTGAGATAAATGACAAAATCGCTTATTGCGACTCTCATGTAGCAAAATTGGCAGGTATTATGTGTC